AAAAGTTGTCGTTAGTATTGTTCTTATAAATAATAAAAAAAAAAATATACATTAAAATAAAGTTTGTACATACCGTCAAAATATGTTTCTGCCATTCTTTTTGCCGGGGACTGTACGTGCCAATGGTAATATATTTTCAGCATTCAGTTTTTGAGAGAAGATGAAAGAAATTAAAAGGTAAATAAAATTTGATAAAAAAAATCAAAAATTCTAACTGCAAAGTAAGGACTGCGTATATTTTGCTTGAAGTGAACACCTGGATAAATATCATTGATGTTTTAAAGCATAGTTTGTATGTAACAACATGTGTTAACTTGTTATTGTAGATATTGACTTGGTCATAAGAAGCATATATTTTCTCCTGTTTAGAGACCGAGCCCATGCCACAAATAATTCTACACCATCATTGTCTGAAAGACTGATCATAGCTTCATGTAATAAATCGAGTCTATCCACTGCTTCATTGACTTCACAACCATATTTCTTCCAAGGCAGATTTCCCCCACGCCGCATCTAAAGTAAAGTATATATTAAAGATACAAGATCATCAACTGGTGTTCTTTTTATCTTCTTCATTCTATCAGCGAGTACCATTAAAATTTTATTCATAAATGCCGCTATTCCCGTAACAGTATCAGGTTCTTCTTTGCTTGCAAATGCTGTAGTGGCTGTTGCCTAATCAATCAAGATAATGTCTGTAGGTTTCTCATTTATGCTTTCATAAGTGAGGTCAATTTCGCTAATACCACCACAACTTGGTATACTGATGCAATTCATTGGCAAAACGTCGTTGTGAACTATGCCAAGCTAATGAACTTTGACAAGTGTATCTAGAAGCGATATTCCAACATGCTGGACATTCCTTGTATAAACTGTATCTATTGACGAGTTCCGCTGGTAGCGTTATGCGTAAGTCTCACCAATTGGCTCTATAATGATCACTCCATGACCCGAAATCTGCTCATGACTAATAAGTCATACTGTTGGTACTCTGCAAACACCAGTAAGATGCTTGAGAACACCTGCTTCTCTTTTGGCTATCCCTTCTTGTCGTTCAACTTTCACTGCGCACAAGGAATTAGAAAATGATCCCAGAAAGACAAGGTAAGAATATCCAATGCTAGCTATCTTGTCGATTGTGATTGACACTTTAGCAGATGTGATCAATACTGGCATATTAAAAGGCGATGGTAGGAAAATATCAAAGGCGAGGCAGCAGCAGCTTTTAGTTGAAACTGCAAACTGTGCCTTTTTTGATAGAGGAGTGCTCCAGCGAGTAGCTCAGCGATTTTGAAACCCTATTGATAAATGGGGAGATTTTGATTTGCACAATTCTATTATTTTTCAGACGTTCTTTATAAATCCACCATTGTAATGCATCAGTGCCAAAGCTATAGTAGTGAATATTGTTGTTTACAGGCATGGTTTGATCCAGGGCTGCCAACCCAAAAAATTGTTTAGCAAAGTTATAATTCTGGATAGCACATTCCATCGCCTTCTCTGCCAGGTCCCTTTTGATCTTATGCGCATAGGTAAGACTGTAAGGTGTTGGTGCCCTCATCCTAATCAGTGCTGAACCTTGCAAGTGAAATTGTTCATCATAAGTGTGAAGGTCTGCATAGATCTGTCCTACATTTCCACCATTCTGTTTGTCTAAAATCACTTTCATGTCATAAACTTTTGCAATCTGTTCCAGAATTAAATAGGCAACTGATTGTTGTGCTCGCTTTTTATCCTCCCTAGATTGTTGCTGCTGGATCCACCTCATGTGCCACTGTTGCAATCTGATTTCGAACTGAAGACGCTTCTTGACGCAGTTCTAATAAGAATGACGTGTTTTTCCAAATTATATAACCATCTCGTATAGCGGTTTGAAACTTAAAATTGAGAAACTTTCAAGGTAAAAGGTTTGATCTGCAGTTTCGAGAACTAGAACAGAATGAATAAAGATAAGAAATAGTATGGAAAGTAGAATTATGTATATTAAACTCTAGCTATAGTAACTTTCACCTGATAAACTCATAATAAAGAAAACTATATCGGTATGGAGTTACAACTTTAGATATAATAACGTTGTCTCAATAATTCATAATATAAGAAAACACACTACTCTGTCCCTAACGCCCGAGTTACAAAGTCATTACCTGGCTGAGGAGCAGTTTGCCTCTCTTGCAATAAAGCTACCTGCTTGCTTCACAGTTCCTCCCGTACATCCAGCCTCTTCAACTTCTCTAGCATGTCTTTTACTTGCTTCTCTTCTTCCTTAAATATGTTCGTCAGAGCCTTTTTCTACAACTTCTGCAGCAACTGCTCTTCCTCCCCTTCCTCAAACTTTTTCAACGCTTCTTTTCTTTCTTTCCACTCCCTCATCGTGTAGTCCAACTCTTGTGTAATTATCTCAACATTTGCCATTTTTTTTTGTTGATGAGAAATGGTTAATATACTAGCTGATCAGCATTTCACAAAATATCACACATACTAATAGAAACCATTCAAAGTCTGGAGCTCATTCTGTTACTATAAACGTGACAATTTTTTTAGTGATATATCTTTTTTTAAATTACATCATTGATATATATTTTTTTAATTTATTTATAAATAAACTAATTGATTTAATTGAAATATTAAATTTTTTTACATAAATATTGTTTTATTTTTCCTTTCTGATATATATTATAAATTGCTGTTCTATATTTTGTAATAATAATAAAATAATATAACCCTTGTGAGCAAATGTATCGTTCTTAAACCTATATGACAACTTTCTTATACTATTAAATCTGCATACATGATGCATAAATAGGATCTTCATATGATATAAGAAAATAGTACCTGATGGTATAAGAAGAATGCTAAACTTTTGAATTTTAGTATATATCTATTAATCAATAAAAATGGATGATAAAATTTTTTGATTGCAACACTCTTCAAGTCATAAATCTTCAGCATCAAGATCAGAATAATAAAAATATACATAAAACATCTTCCATTTTTATATTTAGTAATTTCAAAAAAGGTCTTCTATGAAAATTTATGAAAAAATAGATAAATTAAAACATAATCTTTGCTTTATAAACAATAAAAGTTTTCCATTCACAGGTCAAAGTAAAGGGATATATAACTAAAAATTTTATATATTGACCTATTTCTTATTGATTTATCAGATATTATAATTAAATCCAATTAAAATTTATATTGTAGAAATTAATATAAACTTGTTCAATTTCTACAGAGTTTATATACCTTTTGAAATTAGTATATTTTTATGATAATTAAATTTATTCTAAATTAAAATGAAAATCAATTTACATATAATACATATTAAATGAAATATTTTTATATTATAAAAGAAATCTGAATTAAATTTTATTTATACTTGCAAATATAGATAATAAAAAGTACTATAAATTTTATTTAATATATTATTATATTATAAAGAAATATTAATAAAACTTTATTTAAATGTGGCTTATATATACATACATTAATACTATACTAAAAAAACTTCTATTTTATTCTAAACATTTTGAAGAACCTAAATTATCAGACTTTAAGTTTTAGGATTTTTTATTTAAAAAATTATAATAATAGTTAACAAATAATTATGTATAACATATAAGTTTTACAAAAATCTTTAAAGTAAATTTTATTATAAAACTATATAAAGTTTTACACTCCAATAAGTCATGACTACTTTTAAAATAAAACTTTCAAAAAGTGATATCAAATATTAGTAATTTCTTAATTATTCACTTTGTTTGGTTTTACTGCAATATGCTTCATATTATAATATAAATACATTCAGATCTCTATATAATCACACTCTATATAAGCATATTTCTTTAGAATCATCTAATTTTGCGAAATAGATTAAATAATAATCAATTCTAGTCACTATCACACGAAATTCTTAACCTACATATCATTTTTTATTATTGAAATTTACCTCTTCATAATTACTATAATTTTGGTCAAGAAATAATTTTAACCAGAATTACTGTATGAATATTACACAAATATCCATTTATGGGGTTGTCTAAAGCCGTGTTCGATCATGTGCTCAGCAGATCGGTGGTATCACGTCAGAAGATCAGCTATGATCTGGATAAGTCACGTAATCACGTGAATAAAAATTTGGTGTTCTAATATTAAACTATTAAACGATAAATATTATTATATATTATATAGTGTTCTAATTTTAAAGATTAAATATTGTAACATAAAATGTTATTTTTTATTAGCATATATAATAAAAAAATTTTATTATCAGTATTACATTTGATTATTTAGAAAAGGTTCTAAACTATCTTTCAGTTTTCTAATAAATGAGTTAGTTTGATTTGTGTCGCCTTTCTCTTCAACTCTCCAATATATATCACACGTCCTTTCCATTAGTTCACTTACGGCTAACCGTCAATTCTCTAATGCTTTCTCAGCTTCAGTCATCCTAAGTACTTCTAACTCAACTAGTTCGCGATGTATATATACATCAAACTCAGTCTCATCAAACATTTGTTGAAATTTTTCCCACACATCAAATGTTAATAGCTTTATAGCACCATACATATTTTCATGAAATACATGACGGCAAGGTAGTAAATACTAATGAAAAAATAAGCAGTAATAATATAAAGACATAAGACTCAGTGCTGATTTGCCTTTCTCTATTCGTCCTTCAATAGTGCAAATCTCACAAATAAGCATTTGTTGGATTGGAAACAGGAATTTATGAATTTCACAAAGAATCTCATCATCAACACCAATAGCTGAAATCCTTTTAGTTTAAAATTTATAAGCAACATGTTCTGAATTGGAGTGTTTTTTTCATCAAGTGCAACTATCTTATGGCAGGCACCTGATAATATTAAATTAGATTAGATGAAACTATCTTATAAAAAATTATAATATAAAAAAATAAATACCAATTAAACCATGTTGTGGGGAAGAGGTTCTCTTTAATTCACTGTGATATAATTCTAAGGCATTTGTTGAAGTTACTTGTAAAAGAAGAGGGAATGCTGTCATGTCCAAAACTCCATTGATGCATATTTCTCATGTAATTCCTTGAGATGTATTGTTTAATGGTCAGATTTAGGCATTCATTGATCACTTGTTGAACCAAATCCTCACACCCGATCTTAGTTCTTTTATGCATGGCTTGGATCATTTTTTGTCATATCTTCTTATCGTAAATTCTTCTCATCCAGGTTCGCATGATATGCACTGTACAAAAAATAATATTGCACTCCTGTTCACCAACTTCAAGACCTGGAAAAGCCATTTTGATGCCATTGGATTCTATATTACTTTGGTCAGAGAGAAAATATCTTGGACTCCAATGATTTGCAAATCATTTAATTATTTTTAAGCCCTTCGCAATAGTATGACTATTTTCATTGCTTACAAAGAAATGAGTCCCGACGTCCCAACATCTATAATTATTGCGAATATACAAAGTAAACAACTGACAATCGTATTTATTGGTCTTGTGTGTAGAATCTATGAGAGTCAACCAGCCATGTCGTTCGAGATTTTTGAGTTGATTTGGTTTTGCAAAAACAAAAGTGTAAGTTGACAAATAAGAAATTTCATAATACTCGACCAAATATTCTTATTTTCTTAAGAAGGAAATGGCCTCTCAAATATTTACACTTCGTTTAGAATTGCCGATAAGATGTATATCAAGAGATCCATGCACTTTATATTTTATGTTTATAACTTCCTTTAGTTTCAACTCCTTTACGCTTTCTTCTAGATCAGTTCTATGGTTGTATATTCTTTTACTGCATTAATGATTTCCAGTGGTCGGTAATTTTTTAGGGCCTCTTGCATAACCAAATCTCAGATAGTTTGAGAACGCTTAATCTTTTCACTTTCCTTCAGAGAGTGCATATGGTCAGGTGAGTCCTTAAATCGTTCAATTTGTACTTTTTGTTCAGAAATGTAACGTTGAACTTTGATTTTTGCAAAACACAAATCGGCCAGCTGAATTTTCGTTATACGGCATTTTTTATATAAAACACCTCCATTCTGGGTACTTGATTTATTATGCTTGTTAAATCGACAAATAAAGACCTTCTATGAATCACCATTAACGTTATTTTTAAAGCTATACCCAACCCATACATTCGACACAAGAGGCCACCACTCCTCATCAAATTCTTTCATTGAAAGTTCAAGTGGTTGTTCGATATTGAAAAGGCGGATTCATTTTTGGTTAGGAGTTAAGGCTACAGAGGTAGGTATGTTTATAATATTAGAAGCAAATGGTGTGATCATTGATTATTTGCGATAGATATTAAAGTGGGGAAAATTCTAAGGAATACCACTGAAGAAAACTTCAAAAAAATCGGAAAAAGAATTTTAGGAAGAAAAAAAAAACTCGCGAAGAAAAAAAAAACTTCGGAGAAAAAACCTAAGGTAAAGAAACTTCAAAGAAATCGGAGAAAGAATTTTTGGAGAAAAAAAAAACTTCTAAAGAAAAAAACTTTCGGAGAAAAAAAACTCCAAAGAAAAGGCATACAAGGAGCAAATTAACCACCGGTAAAGAGGACTTCAAAGAAAAATGACTTTCAAACTTCTTTCTTCAAAAAAAAAGTCGTAAAGAATAAGAAAAGGCTGGGAGAACAAATACATCACTAACAAAAAACCTCGAACTTTTAAGGAAAAAATTCTTCAAATTTAAACCCTTTGCAAATTGAAAAAAAAACAAACAAAAATAAAAGCTTCTCTCCTCAAACTCTAGCAGCAAAAAGTAGAGACCAACAGTATAGAACTAGTATAAAAACCTTCGTCACTGTTAAAAAAAGATCGTTGTGGCTTAGAAAGCAAAGAGTTTATTATGCGGCTGTTTTTTGTTATTATTGAAAATTTTATTCACGTGACCACGTGACTTATCCGGATCACAGCCGATCTTCCGACGGGACACCGCCGATCTGCTGATCACGTGATCGAACACGGCCCCCAAATTAAGAAAATGATTTGCAGTCATATAATTTATAAATTATAATTCCAACCAAAATTAAGATAATTAAAAAATTTATACCTCTATAACAATTACACCTCTATATAATCACCAATTTTTAGGGAACCGAATGGGTGACTATATAGAGGTCCGACTGTAATAATATAATATATAAATATAATAAGAATTAAAGAATTTACAATTTAAAAAAAAATATATTAAAAGTTTTTTATATTTTATAATAAAATTTTTTTATATAAGAAATTTAACCATTAATTTATAATACGTAATACAATTTCTTAGTTGAATTTTAAAGCAGATTTTTTTTTTTTTTTTTGTTAAATAAAGTGTTATTACTTTGACTTAAAAAAAGCTTTATAATGAATATACTATTAATAACATCATGTATGCATATACCTACCAAACTTTTAATTCTTAAATCCCTAATAAATTTCTTATAAACTATTAATAAATGTTTAATGTTCTAACTTAAATATACTACGATTCGTATTACTTATATAAAATTTTTAACGACGATATTATTGGCCTTATTTAATCATTATTATTACAATCTTATTGCGCGGCGTATTTTTATTTGTGATTTTATTTCAATTTTTTTTTTCTCTTAATGCTTAATTGATATTCATCACAGACATATTATAACTTTACATTTGAATTCTTCTTAAGGTGGCATTAAGATGTTGAGCCATTTGTTTGTGTTGTGTTGACATATTAAATACATATGTCATTGTCTCGCTTATAGGATCCACCATCCAAGTTCTTTTTATTAAACGTAAAAATTACAAATTAAAAATTAGGTTAAATTACGAGAAACAAAAAAAAATATAAAAATATGCATTACCGAGTATATTCTGTTATATGAGGAGGCTAAATAATTAATATTACAAAAATTTTAATTAATAATTCATTTATGTTTATTAAAAGTGAAGTTATTGTTTTATAATCAATAATAACCTTGGCACTGCTAGATCGTGAAATATTAGTTGATCTAAACATGATTGTTGTACCATCAATTCTACCTTCTTCGATTGAAGCGATTCCTTTAATAAAAGAAGTATTTTGAGATTTCAACTTTCTTTTTTCTTTCCAGTGATTTGAAATAATCTAAAGGTACCTGTAGGTTGAGCCAAAACCAATTCAACTTTATCACTCATCCCAGGCGTTCGAATATATCCCATTTCGCTGTGAAAATTTGAATTGTTTTTCATGGGATTCCATGTTTTCTGCCTATAAAAGTTACGCGTTTTATTAAAAAAATCACTCCTTATAAAACGAAGGATAATGATTTCCTTACCTATAATATAACCAACCTCTGCCAGCTTCATCAGGATAAATGGTAATTTCTTCATTATAAATAAAATCATTGATACCTTCAAATCTACCGCTTCCTTCACCGTACCAAGTTCCAAATAAGAAATCCAACGGATGATTTAGTTTCTGTTGTTTAGATTTCCTCATATTTGCGCCATCTATGTGATGATGATGAGGATGTAACATTTCTTCCTCTAAATTATATTGAGGTTGTAATATTTGATAATTTTGTTGATGAAAATCATAAATATTGTTAATATTCGAACCAAATCCACCTCCGAAATTATTTGCAGCGAGTTCATTTAAACCACTAACACTGCTATAACTTCCTCTTTTATTATTATTATTAGTACCACCGTTACTTGAAGTATTGTCAGGCTTGAACACTTTATGAGTTTTAGCCAAATGATTTATTAAATTTGAAGTGGATCCGCCATGTTTAAAAGTTTTATTGCAAATATTACAAGTTGCTACACTTTCACCATCCTGTAAAGTTTTTACTTCGAAATATGGCCACACCCAACTTGTTTTCGGTCGCGGTTCTCCTAATTTTATTTCAAACATTGATGACATTTTTTTTTTTTTTTTATCGAAAAAAAATCTTATCAAGTGGGGACAAATTTTATAAAGGAATAGGATAGTTAAAAACGGGTAAATAAAAGAAAAAATCGAAAGCGTACAAATTATCGATTAGAAGGACGAATAAACGAGTTATAAGCGAAAATGTTAAAGAAAAAAAAAATGACAATAATAATCTAATCAAGGGTGAGATAAAGACGGAATTTTTCAAAAAGAAAAAAACAAATAAAATAAAATAAAATAAAAGAGAGAAAACATACGACGAAAAAACAACCACCAATTTCTCCCTCTAATAAATCAAGTGAACAAGTGATTGATGCGGTGAAAATTATTTTTAATTTTTTTTTTTTTAAATTTTTTTTTTTTTTTTTTTTTTTGTTTTATTTATAATTTTTTCGACTTATTTATTATACTTGTAATTTTTTCTAAAAATCACAAATATAAATTAATTTTAAAAAAAAAATAATTCATTTATTATTACCCTTACAATTTATATAATCATCTTAAAAAGGATTATGCAGCTGTCAGATATTCCTTATCTGATAAGATTTCCCATTCTTATCTGGCATTGATTGTCCAAGGTACCAAAACCCATCCATCAGAGAATTCATCAAAAAAGGGATCATCGCTGCGGAAAATATTAAAAACCTTCATTTCTTCGATTTTTAAGTTAAATAAGTTTACGGATAAGACTCCGAGAATTATACAGAAATGGACCATTATTTAAAAATTTCCCCATATTTTAATAAAGCCGAATATCAATAAACAAATTATTTTATAGATCAAATAATCAGAGATAAGAAAATCTAAAAAGATTAAGATTAGATAATATAAATACAGAGTCCAAATTTTATTGTGATAGGTAATTTTACCAGTTATCAGTTAGATTGTAAGACCAAAACGGTACTTTTTGGAGGCAATGTAACAACGTGGAACTTCGAGTAACGTCTAGCAGACAACAAAATATTTTTGGCGGGAAATTACTTTAACAAATCCATGCATAAACGCACAGACTACACAAAAACCTTATGTCACCGATAATTAGTCAGTTGACCCTGGGAAAATGTATCGTCGCCTCCCCGAAAAAAATTCCTCGTGACGATGTTCAGTTATTCACATGTATTGTAATCCTCTTATCTCTCAAATGTATGAAAATTCTTATCGGAATTTCAAACTACTTCCGACTTTACGCGATTTTAAAACTTAAATTATTCCTACATGTAGCTGATCTTCATTCCCCTCTCTCTTCATTTTTAAAAATAAAGAAAAATGCCTTCTGAATTTAACCTTCCAGTAATCGATATTTCTTCATTCACCACTAATTTAAATTCTCTGGCTGCGAAACGTGAGACAGCTAAACAGATTCACGAAGCTTGTCGTGATGTTGGATTTTTCTACCTGACGGGTCATAATGTACCTCAAGAAATTATTGATAAAGTGTTGAAATTAGGTTATGAATTTTTTCATTTACCAGAAGAGGAAAAAATTAAATATAGCATAGCCAATGAAGATTATGCAAGGTTGTCATTTACGTTTATCTAAAATTTTTGAGAATGATGAATGGAATTAATTTTTTTTTTTTTTTTTTTTTTTTACTTTGAAGAGGGTATCAAAGACTTGGTGAGAATGTTACCAGGTATCAAAAAGATTGGCACGAGGTAATTGGTCGCGTTATTGTAACGGCTATAATTCTTTCACGATGATGGCGTATAACCTACTCAGAAATTTCCAGGCACTTGATTTCTACAAACCGATACCTCGTGTGCATCCATTGGTCTTGAAAAACCTACCTTTGAGAGGTGAAAATCAATGGCCCGAGAACCCGGGAGAATTTCGTTCAGTATTTAATGAATACATAAATCTTATGCTGAGATTGGGTGCTCATGTGATGAGTGCCATCGCATTAGGGTTAGGATTAGAGGAAGATTTCTTTGAAAAATTTATAAACGAGTCATTTTGGTATGCGTGCATCTTCGTAAATCTTTAGGTAGGGCAAGGTATTCGTAATTGTAACAACGCAATATTAAATTAATGTAGGGTTATGAGAGTTATCGGATATCCGGATCTTAGAAGTGTAAAAGACAAAAGCCGCGTAAATTTTAGCTGCGGTGAACACACAGGTGATGAAATATAATTTTTTAAAATGTGATTTTTTACCGATACATTTTGTGTAATATCTAAAACAAAAAAAAACATAAAAAAAATATACATATAATAATTAAGATTACGGGTATGTAGAAATCAATGTAACAAACGTATGTTGACATTGCCGAACTTTTTTCTAAAAAATTTCACCCTTTTACTATAAAAAGCTGCCTAACCTTTCTAAATCAGGATAACACCAAAGGAGCCTTGCAAGTTCAAAGAAAAGATGGCACTTGGATTAATGCTGATCCAATACAAGGTGCTCTTGTGGTGAACATCGGCGATATGTTGAATGTAATTATTATCTTACCTTTTTTTTTTTTGGTAGAATCAATGTTAATTTATAAAACAAATTTGCTTATAGGTCTGGTCGAATAACGTGTATAAAAGTACTCTTCATAGAGTCATTCACAAGGGTGATGATTATCGTGTATCGTAAGTCTTCTATTATTATATTTTATAGTATATATTAAATCTCGTTATAATTATCTGTAATTTTTTTTTTTTTTTTTTACAAGTGTTCCGTTCTTTTACGAACCTAATTTCGATGCCAAAATAGAACCACTCGAGCCTTGTTTAAAACTCGATCCCGTGAGACATCATGAGCCCGTCGTTTATGGAGAACATTTGTTGAAAAAGGTTTCAACAAATTTCGAGGTTACAGAATTGTGAAATCTAATTTGTCATTAAGTGTTTTTGTATTAGGAACCCTAATTTTCTCATTATTCCCGGAAAGATTCCGTAAGCATATCTAAACAAAACGCCATAACTAGGATACCATAATTCTTTTTGCCCATTTAATCCACTTTGTAAGATTATTTTTGCGGTTTCTTCAGCATTCACAACTACATGATCAATCAACCATTTTGGGAAATATTTATCAGTATTGTTCCTCATTGTAATCGTATTAATTGATCCTAAATAACATAAAGTAATTTTGATTTGATTTTGTAATCCTTGATATTCTAATTCTTCATTCAATGAGACGAAATATGAGTTAACTGCTGCTTTTGAAGTGGAATACGCCCACGACATTCCTAATGAAATCATGGAAATAATTGAGGATAAGACTATTATTGATTTAAATTCTTCCCCTTTTTTAGAAATCATGTGCGGTATGGCCAAGTGTGACAACGTAGCAAATCCAATTAAATTTGCCATCATTATATCTCGAAGTTTTTCAATCATTAATGCTGGATTATTAAAGTCCATATGTTCAAATAATGACATGGCATGATTCAATATTAACATATCTATTTCGGGTTTTTTATTATTAATTTCATTAAAGTAGTTTACTGATGAATTTAATAAATATTCACAGCCTTCTTCATGTTTGAGGTCGCATGTAACGATCTTTATTCGTTGATTTGGAGATATTATTTTACATTCGGACGCAACTTTTTCTAAAAGTTTTGTTCTACGAGACGCTATTACGATATTAGCACCATGCTTAGCACATATGTATGCCATTTCTTCACCAATTCCCACGCTTGCTCCCGTGATTATGACATTTTTTCCTTGGAGTTTAGAAAGTGGTGGCATATTGTATATAAAAAAGAATTTCATTAATGTAAAGGAAATGATTAAAGAGAAGATTATGACTGATAGCATTTTTCTGTTTTAAGGGAATAGTATCCTTTTGGAGCCTTATAATTATAAAAATTATTTGATAATCTAACCAAGTTTATGCATTATGTTGTGTCATTATGATGGATCATTAGGGTCAGCAGATACATATAATCGACCTTTCTTGTGCTTTTTTTTTTATTTTCTGAAAAAAAAAAAAAAATCATTTAAAGGGAATAAATCTGACAATAATGAGCAATATTAACACAACACCACCTCTTGTTAATCTGAATAAAATCAACACAGTCCCAGAAGGTACTGGTGCAAGTAGTATTCTTTTTTTTTTTTATTTCCGACAAAGCTTTTTTTTTTTTATTGTATATTGAGCTTTTTCTTTCCTAGTTGAAATACGGTTGCACGAGCCACTCATTATGAAACCGAAATCTCGTAAAAAACGGATAGGGTTACATGTTTTAAACGCGTTAGCAAGACTAGAAGTTTTGTTGAGTAAAGAGGAAATGCTTGCAAGTTCGGAAACTGGTGTGCAGAACTTGAAGCAGGTTTGTGTGGTGAAAGATAAAGTTTTGAAAACAACAAATTTGATTGATGGTCGAATTATATCCGGAATTTTACCATCGTCGGTTATCAATGCCAAATGTGCAGTTTCTCGAGTCCATCTTCCTAACTGGTAATGTTTTAATGTGGATTGCTGAACGATATTTACAAATGTTAGGAAACAGTACTGGGGTTTTCGCAATTTTGATTTGAGATATTTGGGTTAATTTTGAAATTCAATTTGCTTTTGTAAATATAATTTCAATTTGCTGACGCAATCCTTTCTTTTTTTTTATTCTAGCAACAATATAACAAAACAGAGATTGAAAATACAATTGCTGCTTTAGAACTTTCGATATTGCAATTTGAAGAAGATGGATTAGCAAAAAAGGATATTCAAGTAAGGTTTGACATGTAATTTTTGATTAATAATTTATTTAACTGAATATAACCTTGTCATATAGACGTATCTTAAAGAACTTGGCCTCACGTTGTTATTCCCGAAATCTGCGAAGCGATTAATTGTGCCAAATCTCGCCTCAGGGAAAATCGATGCTTTGGGTAATTTAATTTCATTAATAACAATTATTATTATTATTATTATTTAGATTTTCAACTAATTCCGTTTGAATTTTTCAAAATAGCACATTTCCATGAGATGAATGTACTTAATCAACTCGTTTCAATTTCATTGCAACTTCAACAAGATATAAAACTCACAAACCACAAATACATGGCACACCAACTCGCATTACTATACGTAGTTATAATTTATTTATTTATTTTTCACTATCATTTAATAATTTTTTTTTGTTTATCAACTTTGTTTGCACATTTTATTCATTAGCAATGCCTCAACCAAGCTGGTGGTCATTTTATTAAATATAAATCGCGTGTTGAATTACATTTCGATGCTATTAAATCACTGACAAATGGCTTAGAACAACCGAGACTTTCACCAGAACAAAAAGAATGGTAAATATCTCATTCCCAAATTCATATAATTAAATTATTAGATCCTAACCCAATTTTCAAAAAAAAAAAATAAAACCAAAAAAAAAACCAAAAAAACCAAAAAAAAAAAAAAAACAAAAAAAAGGCTATCACAGCTGACGGCGGATGTTGTTACTGAAGCTCTATTTAGTGGAAGACCTGTTACCGCGATGTCACAGCCTCTGGCGGCGTATTTAAACAATATTAGTGAGGTGGCACCAAAATGAAAAACGAACTAATCGATATGACGCCAATTCGATAACTTTAAAATTTCAAAACTCCATATGCATGATTATCAGAATATGAGTAATCGCGATTGTTTTTTATAGACAATAAAAATACCTTGTTTAGAATTTTTTTTTTTTTATTAATGAAAAATCGAACCATCATCTATTTTTGGAATAAAGTATTTTAAATAATCAAGATCGTGTGAAAAATCTTATGTCTCGTGGGAATGTAATATCTTTATTGTGGCTTGATTTACTTAATTTGGTTTAAACTTTATTTTAATGTGACAATAAGAAAAAAATTAAACTATGGATCTAAACCTCGTGGTCTGAAATGCAAGCTTTGTTTTTTATATTTTTTGGCGCGTTAAGCGAGCCACGGAAAATAATTCGAAGGATTTGAAAATAAACTGTATGGTATGATTCGGAAAATTGCGGTTACATATAAATCTGTTGGTTGAAGTTTACGATGCATTCCGAATCATAAAAAAAAATTCCCACCTAAAAAAACGCCAGTTAGACAAATTTGTACACAAAATCTTGGAATAATTTATTATGGTAGATCAAATAATACATATTTAACTGCTTTGTGACTCATTTAACTAGTTTCAGCTTGATTATGACAATATCATTTTTGATAATCATTCTCGACAAAATTAAAAACGAACATTTTACTTGTCTTTTTTTTTTTTTTTGATTTATTTAATTGAGAAAAAGAAAAAAAAAAAAAAATTTATCAAAGAATTAACTTATTAACTGTTAACTATGAGTTCAGGTGCGTGATACCCCTTTTTGTTATTGACTCCTATTTTCGTTTTATTAAAACTATTTCGTTCTATCATAAACAGATACAAAGATTGCTTGCGTGGTATGTTGAACACATTTCAATCGTTGGTTTTGTCAAACAATCGTGCGATCTGAGCCATTTGTTTGAATAACACTTGCGATCCTGTGTTTGCATTATCTTCCAATTCGATTGTTCAAAATGAATTTTTTTTACATTTATATAGATGGTAGGACTTCCCGCTCGTGGAAAGACCTATATAGCACAAAAAGGTATTTATAAAAAGTAATGATATATATTTTTTTTTATTTTATTTTTTGTTTGGTTTAATTACCTTTATTTGGATCATATAATGAGGCACTACTCCCAATTATATTCAAGTTTACATTTTTTCCCTCATTGATAGTTTGTCGATATCTTCAATGGTTAAGCGTCTCGACAAAGGTATTTAATGTTGGTAATTATCGACGTAAGCTTCATGGTGCACATCAGATGCACTCGTTTTTCGACCCCAACAATAAGGAGGGTGAAATTGCGCGTAGGGAAGCGGCAGCTGAAGCCCTCAAAGATATGTTGAGATGGTTCGAAGTTGAAAATGGCACGGTAGCCATATTTGATGCTACAAATTCCACCCGGGAAAGACGAACTTTCATTCTTAATCATTGCAAGAAACAAAATATTCAAGTCATCTTCATTGAGACGGTTTGTCAGGATGAGAATCTCATCTTGCAAAACATAATGGATGTTAAACTATCATCCCCTGACTATAAGGATATGGATCCCGAAAAGGCAGCCGAGGACTTTCGTGCTAGAATTTCCCATTATGAGGAAGCGTATGAAACTATCACGGAGAACGATTTCACTTATATCAAGCTCATCAATGTTGGAAGTCAAGTAGTGATTAATCTGATTCAAGGATACCTTCAGAGTCGGATTGTATATTATTTGATGAATTTACATATTATGCCTAGAAGTATTTTCTTTAGTAGGGTCAGTATGTTGATGTTTAAAAAAAAGTTTTGTTGTGAGAGAACGGAAGCTCATAGTTGATGGGTATTTACACCAAAAAAAAAAAAAAAAATAATAATAATAAATGAATAAATAGATTAATAAAAAAAAATAACCAAAAAACGTATTATCTGATATTAGCATGGGGAGAGCATCTTTAATCTATTGGGGAAAATTGGTGGTGATTCCGATCTATCTCCACGTGGTCGTAAATATGCCAATGCTTTACCTAAACTGATTCATGAAAACTTGGGCAATCAACCATTGACAGTAAGTTAAAACAATTTCTTTATTCATATTCATTATCGTTATTGTTATTGTAATTGAATTAATTAATCTATTTATAGACTATTGACTGTGTTTTTTTTTTCTTTGATTTTCCCAAAAGGTCTGGACATCCACAATGAGACGAACAATACAAACCTCAGAACAGCTGCCATATCCAAAATTACAATGGAAGGCATTAGATGAATTGGATGCAGGAGTCTGTGATGGAATGACATATGAAGAAATTGAGGTTCGTCGGGATGTACCTTGGACAATGATTAGTTCTTCTTGACACGTGCAACACTGATAAAAATTGGCAACAGAATTATTCAAGACATCATATTTATTCATTCATATAATATCATTGCTTATAGGAAAGATATCCTGAAGATTACGCTAATCGAGACGAAGACAAGTTTAACTACCGATATCGTGGTGGTGAGGTAACATTTCAATCAATAAAAAAAAAATTTATTATTATTTGAAAGTACAATATAATCCATTGTTAAGGTTGAATTTTTTTTTTTTTTTTTTAAACAAAAAAAAAAATATTCAAATTCAAATAACTAAAATGGAAACAATAAAAATACCACACATTGTTTAACTAAAAAAATTTTTTTCTCCCCGTAATATTGTCAATATTGACAGTCTTACCGGGATGTTGTCCTTCGTTTGGAACCAGTGATAATGGAACTTGAAAGGCAGCAAAATATCCTAATAGTGGGACATCAGGCTATCCTTAGATGCATCTATGCATATTTCCACAATTTACCTCATGACGAATTGCCGTATATTAAAATTCCTTTACATACAGTTATTAAATTAACTCCAAAGGCGTACGGATGTGCCGAGGTTAGATACAGGGTAGAGATTGACGCGGTGGATACACATAGGCCTAAACCTCAGCCAAAACCGCCAAAACCAGTTATTAATGGCAACTCAATCTCCAGCTCAAACCTAACTAATGTCGCAAGTTAAATTTCTCGCATTGTGTTTTGCGGAAGTTTCGGGGGACAAATGGATATTTTTAGGTGATCATGACATTTTGATTATTATTTTCATTTCTTTAATAACTAGTACTATTATGGACCTTTATTTTTTGATCATATGGTGTAAATGCAGGCTTCGCATTTGAAAAGAGGGGGAAGGGGGGATATGGGTGAAGATCGAAGAAAACATAATTTTTGGTCTTTGGTGAATGACACCAAATTTGGCTAGGGTTGGTTTGTAAAAGGATTTATGATTCACAATCGTAGATAATTTTTTTTTAAACAATTATTATCTGAATATCCTTTGTATAATCAGTCATTGCGCCCTTTTTTTAAAAAAAATTTGTTTCTTACCTATTATACAAGGTAAACTTTTGTATCAAAAAATATAAACTGTTTTGGTTTTCTTCCAACGCCGTATTTTGTTTTTTCTTATGCAAGTCTGTGTGGAGAAGCGCACATACGGAAAAAGGAGAGCTGCTTGAAAGGGCATTTCACGAGAGAATGGGGCTTTTGCATGTGAGAAAGGTGCTCAGTTCTTTGTTTTAAAAGGTAGAAGCGGGGAGGAAGGTATATCTTTGAATTTTTGAAAATTGATTGGAAAGAGGGGCGAATGCAATAAAAGTTTGACGTTTAGCTGCAGTAGTGATCACAAAGCTGTATAAGCCCCCCTGCAGCATAAACCACAAATAAATTTCCATCGACAATATAACCTGATCTGTGTGACTTATTTTTCTTTATGTTTAGCGGGTTAAAATAACCGCTCAAAAAGACTTTAAAAATCTATATCCAAATAGTGATACACAATTCATAGACTTTAATAGAACGTTAATAGAATCGTAATTCGTCGCATCATCAATAATTTAACACACGGACAATAAAACAGGTTTTTTTTTTTTTTTTTTTTAATATATAGCAAAAAGATTTATCGTAAACTAAAATTGAATCAAACCCGCCAACTTACTTGTATCAAAATCAATGTTGGGCATCATCAACTTTATTCTCCTCCCTTGCATTTTAGATGATAGGGTTTTTACCTTATTTGAGATATACATGTATTGATTTTAAAAATTTTTTTTTTTTTTTTTATTATATCACTCCCTTTCCTCCAATCTTTCTTTTGTTCTTACATCCGCTTTTTCTCTCTTCTTTTTCTTTTCTTTTTTTTTTTTTTTTTTTTTTTTTCTTTATATATATATACATACATATTATACATAACTATCTTATACATATAATATTAAAAAAAAAAAAAAATAAAAATAAAAAATAAAAAAAAAAATTATTATATTATTATTATTATTATTATATTACTTTTGAAGTCCTGCCGAGTCAAGGCTTCTCGTATATTGTTTTCGTATTATTCTTGTTAAAAAAAGCGTTCCTAATTAATTATAAGAGCACTTTATCTTAAAAATTTACCGCCTTATAGATCTTTTTTTTTATAAAGGGAGTGTGTAAATATATAAACAGTATAAAATATTACCAAAAAAAAAAAAAAAAATAAAATAAAATAAAAATTTATTTTGAACATTATATCAAAAAATTTCTGGCAAAAAAATAAACATTTTTCTTTTTCCTTACTTTTTTTTTTTTTATTACCACCCCCTTTTATTTTTCGTAATTTGATATCGATTGCACATTTTGAAAATGGCCACACCACCTTTTATATTACCCCCAAACATTTCCGCGTCGGTACATACCGCACCACCTACTCCTAATGTAGTCATGCCTCCTCCACCACCTCGGCATAGCGTTTATTCTAGTGACCCACGCGCTCACCTCATAAGCGCCAGTAATTATTTTCAACTATATTCCACTTCCTCACCGGCGGCGACAGAACAACGTTTTGTAAAGAGTTTTGAAAATCAAGCTACCTCAAACATCCTACCCCCAATTAACACGTCCACCAATGTGGTTACTGGATTTAACACGTCGGGAAATAACAATTTACT